AACCGAGGGAAATTATCACTGCTCAGCTGCTAAGATGGTATTGTATTTTAATGTACCATCAGCACATAGGTAGGCCTATATGGGCCTTCTTATGTCAACGGTATGGCTGGCGCGCCCTCATTTACATAACCAATCTGCGCCCCCTACCACCCTCCTTTTGAGCTCTAGTATAGGCCTACCCTCACATTTCAGTGCAAGCTTGTAGATTTTTTCCTCAAGACCGTCTAGTTCTCTCCATGTGAGTCTTGAAAAGTAACGCTCAATGTCTCAGAGTGGGCATACTCAGCCCCCATTCGTTAACATGGGTGACGTCACTGTCACCAGCTCCTCGACAATACAATAACCTCTTTGTGTGTACTTCTGGCGGCCAGTTCACTGGAGATATTGTGGGGTATCTGTTTAGGCTGTATAACAGAAGGCGGTATAGGTATAATGGGGTTTGATTGTAAAGTATGCATACTATCCCAGGTTGTCTTTATTTTTCTATTGTCAATAGTACTGGGGGAGGGGCTTTTTGGTTTTTTTTAAATTAATGAATACAATAGAATCCAATAAAATTATGAAATTTCTGCCTCATTTGCTATATATTTGGTTATCCATCTTGTGCCAGGAAGATATGTCCCAATTTCTGCTTTGGAAGTTTGATTTTATTGAGGATTACAATGTGGGAATGTTAACTTAACGATCATTTCACTCTACCTTGTGTCGTTGGGGGGGGGGGGGGGGGGGGGGGGGTTGTAGAATCACCTACGTATAACAATATACTTGTAATATTCCCGTCAACCTAAACCTAGGCCTACTCATGGTAATCTGTCTCACTCAGCTTCACTTTAGCTGAGATGAAAAATGTTGAATTCATTGTCAGTTGACCATTTTGAAATCTGAACGTTTCTCGTGCTTGTTTCACAGAAGGGTTACAAAAGGGTTATCTTCAGATGTTGTTTAGTTTGAGTTTGATGGCCTTTGCAACACAGGTAGGTCATATAAGTGCTGAAGATTACAGGTGTAAATACTAGAGAGTAACATACATGTACCGGTACAAAGAAAAGTAAGAGGAGAGACTAAGATGATAGATTGTCTTCTGATTAGGACACATCTTGAGTGACCTTCTTAAATATACATTTTGTAATACTTGGAGAAGCTGGAACACTGGTGTTCATGATGAAATGGTTCGACTCTTCACTGCCACATGCAGAAGAAGCGAAGTTGATTCCCAAATGGGGAATATTTTATCGAGTACATGTACTTGTATCTCCATTTGTCTGCTTGGATGCTGTCATTTAGTCCAGATTAACCATGATGACTATTGTATTTAGAAGTTCTTTCTGTCTGTCTGTTTTACTTATTTCCCTAGCACTAAATGATCATTGTTTTGTCAATGTGCTTTTCTTTTTATTCAAACAAACTAAGACGTGCATTACATTAAGGATTCAAATTGTGTAGATTACGTACACATTTTCATGTACATGTACCATCAACCATAGCGCACCTGCCATGTCTCCTGGTTTAGCGAAATTCTAAGAAAATTATAACCTTAAGTAACTGATGAAATTGAAGAAAGTAATATTATGGTTAGTAGACAGTTATATATTTATATGTTATAAGAGTACCTAATGGGAAAAAATCCATTTTCAGAAACTGGCCAAACAGCTCCTGACTGCTCCCGAAAAGTAATTTGTGAATGAAGAACAATTCAATGTTATATGTACTTACAAAACATTCTCTGTAGTTCTTGATGCTGACTATGCAAAATGACCAATGTCCTAACAGTATAACCTTGAAAAATAACATAACTCTTCAATGATTCAATGTTTTGAATCAAAGCGTTTTGTAAGCACTGGAGTATGGTCCAGGAGGCTGTATGCAGTAATTTTAAACACACTAAAACTAAAATTAAAAATAAATTTATGAAGGCTGCATGCACACACTCATTCAAATCAAAAGCAGTAGGGGGGAATCAGTAAATGGATATAACCGACGATATAAAATTTACATATATATATATTTTAGTTGTCCATTAAGTGGTAATCCTCAGCACTAGTCATCGATTTTGTTTTTTACAGACAAATGTAGGCCCTGTTAAATTTATTCCAAGGTCCTTGGTCCAGTTACATTATTTGCAGTTGCCCCACTAATTTTTGGAACTCATTGACCTTTTTAATATGTGCATTTGTAATTTTTGGTAACTAATTATAATAAGCAGCATACCATGGGCACATAATGATATTATAGTGTCATGTACATATTATTGTTTACGATCTACTCTTTGGGTTTGAAAAAAAAAGCGCTCAGATTACCACTTTTCTTTAATAAATTGTCGCTCGTTTAAAAAATGAGATTATGAGAATAACACAATATGTACCGTTATGAGAACAGCACAAAATGATATCCAAACAGTGTGTGCTGCAACCGAAATTGCAGAACACAAAATTAAGGGGGTTCCGTGTTGATATGCCAGATGGTTGAACGTTTAGGTAAATTTGTCTTTATCCTGGCGAAGGATGTCATGGGGTTGG